CCCCCCCCCCTTGTATTTTTGAGACAGGGTTTCTCTGTAGCTTTGGTGCCTGTCCTGGAACTAGCTCTTATAGACCAGGTTGGCCTCGAACTCACAGAGATCCGCCTGCCTTTGCCTCCCGAGTGCTGGGATTAAAGGGATGCACCGCCACCACCTGGCTCTTTCTCTCTCTTTTGGTTTTTTGAGACAGGGTTGCTGGGTAGTTTTGGAGCCTGTCCTGGAACTCTTTTGTAGACCAAGCTGGCCTTGAAGTCACAGAGATCTGCCTGTCTCTGCCTCCCAGTGCTGGATTAATGGCGTGCATCACCACTGCCCAATTAAAGGTATATACCACCATTTCTTTGTGTGTGTGTGTGTGTGTGTGTGTGTGTGTGTGTGTGTTTTAAATTATGTCTGTGTGTTTGCCTGCATGTTTGTCTATGGCCCACATGTCTGCCTGGTACCAGAGGAGGTAGGTCATAAGAGGCTCCCTGAGACTGGAGTTAGACAGTTATGAGGTACCATGCAGGTGCTAGGAACTGAACCTAGGTCCTCAGGAAAAGCAGCCAGTGCTCTTAACCACTGAGTCATCTCTCTAGTCCCTTAAGAACTAAGTCTATTATATTACAGAAACCCCAAGTTTTAAGGGCTTTCCCCAATAATGGAATCTTCTAGGGAGCTCTATGTGGCAGTACATGCCTATAAACCTAGCACTCAGGAGGATCCAGAGGTCAGTGCTAGCTTGAGCTACATACTAAGTAAGACCTTATCTCAACAAAAATCAAACCAGGCACAGTGGTTGTGTGCCTTTAATCCCAGGACTTGGGAGCCTGACGCAGGTGGATCTCTGTGATTTCCAGGCCAACCTGGTCTAGACGGCATATTCCACGTTAGCCAGGGCTACACAGTGTGAGAAACAACCCAGGAATTACAACTACAATATAAATCTCATTCATCACTGCACAAAATAGAGTTGGCACCAGCATACTGTCTGCGGTGTTCGGATTGCCAGTAGATACATCTCTCTACTTCTAACTGCTGCATCTGAGTGTGGCACACAGCGGAAGAACTTTTGTGTCTTCTGGTGTACCTGTACCTATTAGGACATTCTTACTTTTAAAATAGCGTAGGCAGGAAAAATTTATTATCCATGCACTTCCATCTAGCACAAACTTTCAGGAAGAAAACAAAGGCACAGGATAGAGGTTTCTATGGAGAAAGCACCTGATCTCTGAGCCACCGTCGTGTTTAGGAATCAAGGAGGGGGAAGCACGGGATAAAAAGGTAGCGAAGCAGGCAAAGCAACTGGAAGCTGGAGGAGTGACCACCAGAGCAAGGCGAGAAACAGGAGCACAGGGCACAGTACGGGATGCTGCTGGGTGGAACAAGGGGAGGCAGGTAACTGGCTACAGGCAGGAAAGACAGTTGGCATTCTTAGCAAGAGAAGTCTGAGTGGCCATCTGGGGCTAAAAGTCTAGATAGAAGGACTTAGAAGAAAAGGGCAGTGAGTCTGTCAATTTTTTCCCCAAAAGTTTTGCTAAAAAGTAGAGTCAAGATGACAGCTGGTGAGAAGAACAAGAGTCCAAAGATAATTTTTTTTTAAAAAGATTGAGATTATATACCTGGACACGGATGAACCAAACTGGCTAAGCAAGGGAAACACATTCTATAGGTCAAAGGGAGCCAGCAGAAGATGCCAACTTCCTAAGTAGAACAGAGGGACAGACTTCCTCATAGGGAGGGGTGGCCTCTATAACAAGAGGGAAGTCAGAGCATGCATCTGTGGTTGGCAGGAGACAAGACCTCAGATTAATATGGAGGTCTCTGGAAGAAAAGCAGGCATGAACTGTGATCTTTGATTGGGACTGAGGGGACACAGAGAGGCTGAAGGCACAAGGGCGCTTGCAGGGATAAGCACACACTTTAGCTAGCAGGGAACACTGACTGGTGGACTGAAAGACGGATGTGAAGAGCACAAGACTGGAGGCCAGCAGCTCACCCCAGCATGCCTTTCTTCAGTGGCTGGCCAACCACAGCCCGTCCTGGCTGTCACAGCCTGCCCTAGCCCCGCCTTCCAGAATTTGCCACACCAGAATTTGCACTTACCTGGTCCTGTGTGTTTGAGAATGAAGTTTTCATCATCAAACTTCTTTCCATAGATGGACTTGCCTCCTGTGCCATTGTGGTTTGTGAAATCACCGCCCTGGCACATGAACTGGGGGATGATACGGTGGAAGCTGCTTCCCTTGAAGCCAAAGCCCTTTTCATGGGTGCACAGGCAACGGAAATTCTCTGATATTGAGAAAGGAAAAGGTGCTGAGGTTGAAGACAGCCCAGCCTCCTGACCAAGATTAAGGTAACTACCCAGCAAGGTGAAGGGGTATGAAATGGGGAGGGGGAATAAAACATGTTTTACTTGTTTAGTCTTGCATAGCTGCTCCTGGGTATCTACATGGTTCCCAGGACTCGCCTGGATTCTCTATCTTTTCTACCATCTCTATATTATCTATGATACATAATACAATAGAAACACTCCATAAATGGTTGCTATACTATATTATCTA